TACAAGAAGAGAGACTACAGCAGTTGTTGGAGGATAAAGAAAAGAAACAAGAAGAACGAGATAAGATACAAGAAGAGAGACTACAGCAGTTGTTGGAGGATAAAGAAAAGAAACAAGAAGAACGAGATAAGATACAAGAAGAGAGACTACAGCAGTTGTTCGAGGATAAAGAAAAGAAACAAGAAGAACAAGATAAGATACAAGAAGAGAGATTATAGCAGTTGTTGAAGGATAAAGAAAAGAAACAAGATGAGAGATACAGCAGTTGTTGGAGGAAAAAAGAAAGAAAACAAGAAAAACTAGAAAATAAAGAAGAAGAGAGACTACAGCAGTGGTTGGAGGAGAAAGAAAATAAACAAGAAGAGAGACTACAGCAGTGGCAACTGGAACAAAAACAGAAACAGGAAGAAAGTCTCCAACAGTTGCAGGAAAGTCAGCAGCAACTACAGGAAAGTCAACAACAGTGGCAAGAAGTACAAATGTAAAACATTAGAAAATTTCAAAGTGAAGTAAATACATTAAAGGACACAGGGAGGATATATTAACCATTGACCTAATCAGACAACAGGAAGCTCCTTCCAGACCTCGCAGCTAAACTCCAATGCAAACATCTTCAGTCCTGCCAGAAGTCACATTCCAGACATGAGTGTCAGTAATATGGGTGATCTAATACGAAGGAAGCCACATGAATTCGATGGGAAAGCACCATGGGAAGCATATAGAGCACAACTTGAGCTACTGGCAGAAATGAATGGATGGACGGAGGAGCATAAAACAGTGTATATGGCAAAGAGCCTGAAGGGACATCCACTGGAAATACCTTAACAGTTGTCAGCAGACGACAGGCACAATTATAGAGAACTGGTAGCTGCTCTAGAACTCAGGTATGGAACTCAAAATCAGTCCAAAGTCTTCAGATCCAGGTGTAGGACGACAGTCCGTGCTAAAGTGGAGAGCCTGAAAGAGCTGGCACAGGATTTGAAAAGTATGGCACACAAGGCCTACCCAAGTGCACCACCCGATGTCTTCAAGCTGTTGCTGAGGGATCAGTTTCTAAATGCC